GAGCCCAGCGTCCTCCTACGCCGCCATCTTCCTTCTCTCTCCTGCATTCAACTGTTCTATCTTCATATTTTAGTCCTTCGTTAGGAATTCTAATATGCAGCATTTTTTAAGTTTATTTATTTATTTTTTAACATGAAATTTTAATATGAAATTGTCAAATTGGTTTCCATACAATACCCAGTGCTCATCCCAAAAGCTGCCCTCCTCAGTACCCATCACCCACCCTCTCCTCCCTCCCACCCCCCATCAACCCTCAGTTTGTTTTCAGTTTTTCAGAGTCTCTTATGCTTTGGCTCTCTCCCTCTCTAACCTCTTTTTTTTTTCTTAAAGTGGAAATTGGAAGAATTTCTAGTATACAAGGGGAAAATAATATATTGTTATCTTACATATTATATTACCTACATTCGCACAGAATAAGGTTATTAACTTCCTTCAAATCACCTTTCAGATTAGCATAATCTAACAACTTCTCTGTCAGGCAGTGACAATACCACAATGTTAGTTTTTATATACCAGTGTATCGTATGAGTTCAGATCTATCATGAGTCGAATCATGACCTGAAATGTAGCTTCACATTCTGAAAGTCTTATGTTAACATAGATAATAAATTAAATGGTAATTTGTCTAAAACCAGTATATTATAGGGGTTCCTCTTATAAAATGTATACCACTTGATGCAAAGTGTAAAATTTTTTAAATTTCAGTTTTATAAATGCAAGAGTATTTATGTATACTAGAGAGGTTGATATTTAGAGAAAGTCTTTAGACACGTTACAGGTTAAAGAACTCTTAAGAAAGGTAAATAGTTGCCACTTAATTTTTATAATCTTGCCTTTCTTTAAGTGAGATACACTTGGGTTTCTTTACAATTAATTGTTAAAGGCTAAGTTTACTTTCCGTAGTCCACTCAAATAGGAAAAGCAGAACAAATTTCTTGTAACACTAATATATAGGTATATACATATATAGATATGTGTATATCTACATATACACACACACATATATATACATATATAGATATACACTATATGTATGTTTTTTCTAGTATTACCTGAATTTGTAACATTTTATGTGTGAAAATTTACAAACACTTGATGGTTCTTAATAATGAAACCATTTTTATGAGTCAGTCACTTAAAAAACACTTGTCAGTGATTGCAAAAGGCCAGTAAACTTACTAAAATTCTGAAATTTGAATTACATACTTCAAATAAGTGAATTTTACATATATAATTGCACCTCAATAAAGCTGTTAAAAAATTTGTCAGAGCAGCCACACAGATATTTCTGCTGAAACAACAGAAACTGATATTTTCATTTTGATAATAGTAGAATATATGTTTTGTTTAAGAAATGAGCAATTTTTTCTACTGAGTCATTGCCAAGTAAACTATTGGGAGCCTGGTAAATATATTTTGCAACTTGGCAGGTAAAGTCAGGGAATTCCTAGGAAGCTAACTTCCACTGTCCCACATCTTCCCTGCCCAAACACCTTAACACAGCTGGGTGAGAAGAAGAACAATCTGATTTTGGCCAATTTGCAAAATCCTCTACAGTGCAAGATTTTAACTCTTGCAAACCGATTGTTTATTTATACTTTTATGGACTTGCAAGAACAGTGCTTGTTTATACTGTGTGGTTTGTTTAGACACTTTTATATAAGACGGATTGTCCCTGGATAATGGTCAGAATGTACCTTCCTTGCAGAACGTGTGTGAAAGGCCACATGTCACTTAAACACAAGAGGTCTTGATGAGAAGTAATGGGTTTTTGTTTCTGCAAACCCGATTCTTTTATTCCTTTTCATAAATGAGTGTGTTTCTTTTCCTTGATTTAAATTGTCATTTCACTGTATCTGATCATTTGAGCTTGTCTCTTTTTTAAAGCTTTTTTAATATTGAGAGATGCTAAAATTAGGAAAAGATGAACCACATACTTGAGCCTGATAAGTCTGTGATTTCTTATATGAATTTATATCTTAAGCCATAGCTAATCCCATGTGTTTTGAGAGGATTTTGATGAAATGTAGAGATTTAGTTTACCTGTATATATAGTTGAAGTACACAAAAGAAAAACCTCCCACTTTACAAATGGCTCCGCACAGTGTTTAGCCGAAGACTTAGAAGATTCCCACGCACACAGTCATGGTCAGTTGTGAGGATCTGGAGGCAGAAGACTTGGGTTTGAGGTGTCGTTCTGTCACTTACCGACTCTGTGCCCTTGGGAAAACTGCTTAGCTTCTCTGCCCTTCGGAGATCTCAGTCTCTAAAAGGAAGATAATAATATCCACATTACCTCAGAGGGTTATTTTCAGGTAATGTATAGTAAATCGTTGTATAAACCATTAAGCTCGATAGAAACATCTATTGCTCATGTTATGAGTGTTCTTTGAAAGTATCACATATCCCATTGCTGGCAGATATGTTCTAATTTATATTTACATCCTTAACCATTCTGTAGGTTGTTTAGAATCCCAAGTGATTTTGTCATGTTTTTTTCTTCCCATAGAGCATATCATGTCCCAAGTGGGAAAATATTAGCTGTAAAGGTAAGTGCTGGATGTGTTTTATGAAATTCATGAAGTTCTTAATGCTCACTACTTTGTCCTTCTCCGGTTAGCTTTGAGTCACAGTTATTGTGAAAGAGGAGATGAAAGATTTGGATGGTAGGTTATGGAAGCTTTGGTCCTGCTGTGATAATCAGCTCCTTCTCTCAGGATACCTTCACCAGCTCAAGCACTGTTTTCCTATCTGTTGAGTTATTTGTTCCTTTAGATGTCAGAACCCTTAGATGGCTGTCAATAATATATTTAAAGACAGTCAACTTTAGGTTATTCAGTCCAAGAGAAGGGAGCACCCCTATAAATCATCTAAAAAACTCAACTGTTTGGCCTTGCAAGGGCATTATAATTTCTCATAATTTCATACGTTTTGAATTACACTTAACCTTGGCTAATATTAAAATTCTCATGCATGATTATTTAGTTAGGTATGGCAAGGGGCTAATAGCTATTACTGAAAAGGATTAAGAGCAATTTTAAAGAAAGGACACATTTAAAACAGAGCTGTTAGAGACTTTGAATAAATGCAAACAGCAGGTGTTTACAAATATGCTGTCTACCAGACCTGACCATAAAACTGAGCTTTAGAGCAAGGACTATATTGTTGTCACTGTATATTCCTAGATTCTATAAAATTTATAAAACATACTAGATGTTGAAGCTGAGTTGATTGAATGAATCATTTAAGAGTAGGTATGATTGAGGTTCTGGGTGGCTCAGCTAGTTAAGCATTAGACTCTTGATCTCAGCTCAGGTCTTGATCTCAGGGTTGTGAGTTCAAGCCCCATGTTGGACTCCACACTGGGCGTGAAGCCTAGTAAAAAAAAAAAAAAAGTAGACATTATTGCTGTGTTGAAACTTCATCTGAGTTGAATGAATGAATGATTTAAGAGTAGATATAGTTACTCTATTTAAACTTTTAGTTTAGCCCTGAGCTTCTTGGCTGCCAATGCAAAATCCAAGTAACTTATTTAATAGTCATACTCTGAAAGAAAGAAATGTGCTATTTCTTCAAAACAGGCAGAGTTTCTTTTATTAAATCTTAGCAGTATGTTATTTAGTTTCTTTTTTTTTTTTTAATTTTTTTTTTTTAACGTTTATTTATTTTTGAGACAGAGAGAGACAGAGCATGAACGGGGGAGGGTCAGAGAGAGGGAGACACAGAATCTGAAACAGGCTCCAGGCTCTGAGCTGTCAGCACAGAGCCCGACGCGGGGCTCGAACTCACGGACGGTGAGATCATGACCTGAGCCGAAGTCGGCCGCTTAACCGACTGAGCCACCCAGGCGCCCCAGTTTCTACATATTTAGAGATTTTCTAGATATCTTTCCATTATTGGTTTCTAATTTAAGTCTGTTGTGGTCAGAGAACATACTGTCTATAATTGGAATTATTTTAAGTTTACTGAGATTTGTATTATGGCCCAGGATATGAATTATCTTGGTTAAGTGTTTCCTGTGCACTTGAAAAAAATGTATAGTCTGTTTTATAGGGTGTTGTGTAAATGTCAATTAGATCAAATTGGCTGACAGTGTTCAAAATTTCTGTATGCTTTACTGCTTTTTATCTATTTGTTCTGTCAACTGTTGAAAGATGGGTGTGGAAATTCCCAGCAATAATTGTGGATTTGTCTGTTTTTTTCCTTGCAGTTCTTTCATCTTTTACTTAATGTTTTTTGCAAATCTGTTAGGCATATTTAGGAGTGTTATGTCTTGTTGATGAATTGGCCCCTTTATTATTTCATTACAAAGTGACCCTTCTTTGGCCATGATAATATTCTTTGCTCTGAAATCTACATTGTCTGATATTAACATAGATAGCTACTGCAGCTTTATTTTGACTAGTGTTAGCATGCTATAGCCTTTTATTTTTAACCTGTTATGTCATTCTATTTGAGATAAATTTCTTATAGCCAGCGTATAAGGGTCTTGTATTTTAGTCCATTCTCACAATTTCTGCTTTTTAATTGCACCTGCCAGACTGGCTTCTTGTGAGGCTGGTCATCTTGATATACTTTGTTCTTTCCTACCCTAATATCATTTAAAACATTTTTTTTGGAAACTTTTTTTAAAAATTACTTAAACTTACAGAAAAGTTATAAGATGCTTCCTCCAGATTCTTCAGTTGTCAACAGTTAACTACGTTTGGTTTAAAAAATATATATACACACACACACCTTGGTTTGAGAGCGTAATTCATTCTGGAAACATGCTTGTAATCTAAAGCACTTGTATATCAAAGTGAATTTCCCCATAAGAAATAATGTAAACTCAGATGATTTGTTCCACAACCCAAAAATATTCACATAAGAATGATTACAAGTGGCGCCTGGGTGCCTCACAGTTGAAGCACCCGACTTTGGCTCAGGTCGTGATCTTACAGTTTGTGAGTTCGAGCCCATGTCAGGCTCTGTGCTGACAGCTCAGAGCCTGGAGCCCACTTTGAATTCTGTGTCTCCCTCTCTCTCTGCCCCACCCCCACTCACACTCTGTCTGTCTCAAAACTAAAAAAAAGTAAAAAAAAAATTATATAAAAAAAGAATGATTATAATACTGTAATGTAATACAAAATAATAAAGAAAATATAAAATATAAAGAAAAATAAACAAAAAAACCTTTGTGGCTGGTATGAGGGAGACAAGAGAGAGGAGGATTATTGTGTAGGACGACTTTCACTATTACTAATGGAATCACTGCTATCTATTGGCTCAATGGAATCTTTTTCTGCACGGGAGCCATTGTATATAAACACTCACACGGATGTTGACTATGGTACAGTGTTAATAAACTCTTGTCATATACTGTATTTAATGTAACTGGCAATAAGGCAGCGGAGGAAGGGGTCTATATCTGCAGTCAGCCTGACCTAGAATGAAGCAAAGCATTCCTAAGCTTACTCTTGTATGGAAAAGCAAAGGATTGTCTATAAGTGATCTGAAGTGACAAAAAAATACACAAGTGCCAGTTGTGGGCACCTTCCAATGTTCTGAAAAATCACTGACTTCTGCCAAACTGTGTGGCCTGAAACCAACCATCCAAGCATGGGAGATGATCACCCGCAATCCTACAATGAGAGAGAGAGAGAGGGAGAGAAAACCTTTGGCTCAGTTGTGATCATGTGACATTCGGCATCACGTACTACTCATATTGCAAGCCATCACTCATTTATCAAGTTAAAATTTATTAGAAGTGTTTGCTCGTGTTGCAGAACATTCACAGAACAAGTTACTTACAAACCAAGGTTTTATTGTGTTTAGGATTTGTTGAGATTCTTGGCTCTGTGGATTTTTAGCCTTCATCAAATTTGGGAAATTTTTAGCAATTACACCTCCTCCCCCAACTTTGGGAACTTAAATTCCATCTGTGTTAGGTTACTTGATGTTGTCCCATACTAAAATGATCCTCTGTTATTTGTTTTAGTCTTTTTTTTCTCTCTAATGTTTCATTTTTGGATAGTTTCTGTTTCAGGTACTCAAGTTTTTATCTACACTGTCTAATCTACTATTACTCTTGTCCAGTGTACTGTTCATCTCAGGCATTGTACTTTTGATCCCTAGAAGTTTATGTGGGTCTTTTTTACATCTTCTGTGTCTTAACATGCTCAGTATTCCTTCTACCTTCTTGTATGTATGTAATGTAGTTATGGAATATGTGGAATATAATTTTATTAATGGTTTTGTCTATTAATTCCAGGGTATGTGTCATTTGGGGTCAGTTTTGACTGATTACTTTTTCTCCTCATTTTGGGTTGTATTTTCTTATTTTTAAAACCTCTTTTTTTTTTTTTCTTTTTGAGAAAGAGAGAAGGAGGGTGCAAGTGAGAGAGAGAAGAGAATCCCACAAGTGACAGAGAAGTGGGGCTCATGCTCACCCGACCTGAGCTCTCCCAATGCGGGGCTCATGTTCACCCAAAGTGGGTCTCAGTCTCACTCGAAGTGGGACTCGTGCTCACCTGATGCAGGGCTTGTGCTCACCTGATATGGGGCTTGTGCTCACCCAAAGCAGGGCACAATCTCACAGGATGTGCAATTCAAACTCACCAACTGTGAGATCATCACCTGAGCCGAAGTCAGATGCTTAACAACTGAGCCACCCAGGCCCCCTAAAACATCTTATCATTTTTGATTGGATGCCAGTTGTGTCTCATACTAGATACTAGATATTTTTGCATTGCTATAAATACTTTTCAGCTTATTCTGAGATGCTATTTAGTGACTGTGAAAGTTTGATCCTTTCAACACTTACTCTTAAGCTTTATTAGATGGGACCAGCCCAGTGGTTAGTTGGGAACTTATTTAACCCCACACAATTAAGGTGACAGTCTTCTGAATACTCCACTAATGCCCCGACCATTACGGGATTTTCCACACTGCTTGGTGGGAGTGCAAACTCTTTTTGCCTAGTGTGAGGTCTGGGGATTGTTTCTCTGGTCTTTCTGGCAGTTCTTTCCCTGGCCTCAGTGTTAGTTCCCTGACTTTCAGATGCTGATTGATCATTAATCCACTGAAGACTCCAGGGGGTCCCTTAGCACATCCCTGGAGCCCTCTCCCTTTGGTGTTCTGTCAGGGAACTCTAGCTGCTGTGGCTTCCTCACACCCCACTTCCATGTCCTCAACTTAGGGAGATGGCTGAGCTTTGCCTGGATTTCCCTCCCAGCACAGGGGCCTGGACACTCTCTAGTCAGTAAGCTGGACAATCATAGGGCTCCTCTCATTTGCTTTCTGTCTCTCAAAGATCACTGTCCTGTTGTAGCTGTTGTCAATGTTTGGAAGCCTGTTAATTGTTCTGGGTTTGGTTTGGTTTTGGATCTCTTCCTTCCTCATCACCTCTCCAGTACAGATGCTTGTTTTGTCTCTTGTCAGACACTGACCAATGTTTAAACTGTTCTCACAGAAATAGAGGCTACCATTTATTGATCATTTATACTGTGCTGAGCACTCTACATGTTTTTCTCATATAATAATTAATTAATTAATAGCTTGTCCATGG